AAATCCAAAAAAAAAAAAAAAATAAATAAATAAACAGTCCAAACCAAATTTAATTTTTTTAGTTACAAGCCGTTTTTAAAAAAGTATCAGAAATTATAAAATACAGTGGTTAGGGTTTCTAAAATTTGTTGCTGATTTACAGTTATGCACTGTTATATTTGCTTCTCAAACCTATTCACGCATTTTTTGCTTTCTTCTTTCCCCTATCCTTTACAAAGAGCAGTAAAAGGATAGGAAAAAAAAAATCTGAAAAGCGACCGGGAACGACATCAGCAGGAGAGATTTTGACTTTAACTGTTCTATAGAACAGTTGAAGCTCAAATCTCTGTCGCATAAACGGTCCACCATGTTTCTGATGATTCAACTGAACTGTTTTCAATTAGGCAGTTGATCTTTGCTGGTAGAGGGGAATCGGCTGCAGTTAACGAAGGTCAGACATTCAATAGTTGTAGTTGACATTGAAGAACAAACTAATTAACCGAAACATAAGCATAGTTTATAACTACAAAAAAATTTCTTTATGTGATAAATTCGCCCCGCTCCTGTGGCGGGAAGCGAGACAAGTTCCTTGAGGGAGAACACAAACTCAAAGGCGGATTTGTGATCTATGTGATCCTATAAATAGTTGGCCAATGAAGGGGATGGTCATTGTAGTAAAAAGTTGTTACGGTGTTGTATTGTTCCGGAAGGGCAGTTTAGTAGCCCTGTATTATTTTCGTCGTTTATTATTGATTGGCTTCTTCCTTTTGAGGTTCGTTTGTATATTAGAATTTCAACTGCTCGGTAAAGTTTCGTTTCCGGAGTTTTTAAAATTGAGACATTCTAGTTAGAATTCCAACGTATTAGGCATTGGAATTATCAATTCTACTCTGATATAGACCGATTGGCTGTATTTAGTCGAATTGGAATTGTTGTTTGTATAGAACTTCAATACATTGAATACTGGAATAAGTTCCTTTTTATTTTTGACGGTTCTTCGATACTTCTGCAAGCAGGTAAACCATCCTTTCTATTTTCTTTTTTCGACTGATCCTATTTACCTGTATTACTTCTTCACATTCCGGCGATTACTTACAATCTTGCTATTTTTCTATATTTTTATTAGCGGGAGCGTATTTACGTATACGATTTGCTTCAACGTCAACGATCTTTCGAAACACTAACACGTACTCATACCTCCTTATTTTCCTCTACAGCCCCCTCCCCCTCCTTCCCCCCCCCACCTCCCCAAAAAAAAAGAAAACAATTAGTGCCAAAGCATTTGTAGCAACAAAAAAAATTAAACATCAAAAAACTCCTTTTAATCACTAATAATATCAGAAAAAAAAACACACACACACACACACAATCACAAAGAAATAAACAAAATTTGTCAAATGACTTCGGGCAAAATTTGAGGTGATAATTTAATTGATCGCTGTATTATTTTTTCTTTATGTCACCTATTGAAACATTGGGTACTGATGATATGACATCAAACTGTACTTTAAAGATACTCTCAGCCATGGTTATATGTACTTTTTGGGCTTCAAATTTTTTTTGTTTTTTGCCTCAACAAAACAACAATTATAGCTGTTGATCGTTGACAATTTATCATTTCTCATTACCAAACCTGTTAATATTGTCTGTTTATGAGCACCGTTTAAGAAACTTTACCTTTCTTCAATTTCTTCTCTTTTTTTTTGTCTACTGTCTGCCGTTAAAACGCTAAATATCTGTTACCAATAGTTAGGGGGGTTTTAAATAAAATAAATGTAAAAGCATTTGTTTCCTTTGGATGGCAATTTTTCAAAGCAAATTTTAGGAATAATTTGCTTTGCTTTTTCCTTATTTTTTGTTGTATCTTTCAAACATTTGTCAGCATTTTCTTTGGAAAATTTAGCTTCAAATTATGGTAAAATAAGAAAAAAACAGACAAAGACAGTTTTTTTTATCAGTTGATATAATTGGAAAGTATCGATGAATAATGTCTGATTGACTTTATCATTCGTCAGTAAGTGTTGTCGTTTTTTTCGGTCTACAAATACAGACTAGAAAAAAAAGCTTTTTACACTTAGGCATAAGATTATATGATTATTTAAGTTTCTAAATTATATTATTCTGCTTACTAAATTCTATTAAGCATAAAAGATCAGCGTTTTTTTTTTCGATTATTTCACCGGTAGAGGGCATCAGTAAACTTTGTCTAAAAATGTGTCAAAAGTTAAGCATTGTAAAATTGATGTTCAAAGCATTTTTAATACGAAAGAACGGTTAAAGGGCAAATAAGTTAAGTTAATATTTGATAAGTTTGTTTTTTTCTTTTTGTTTGTCAGTTCATCAATTTTTGCTCAAAAAATAAATGTGCTTTCTTTCTCTTATTTTAAAATTTAATGTCCTTTACTGGTGAGTAAAAAATTGTAAAATGCAAAAAATGTTAAAGGTTCAAACATTAATTAAACAGCAATTATTTATTGCCAATAAAAAATGACAACTTAGTGATACGGTGTGTTAAAAAAAAAAAA